CTCGACAGCATATGTCTATCTTTTATGGTTGACTCACAATAACACGTGAAACTCCAGATAGCTTAGCAATTCGGTGATTTCTGATTGTATTTGTCTACTCTAACGTTTACAATACTCATTCATAGACTTTACGCTGTAACTGAAAGGCCAATGGTTGAAATTAGCTTGACTCGATATTATAAATGAAAATATGTGAGTTTATGTGTATGTTTGTTACTCAGTCATATTAAAACGACTGAAGGGACCGGAATAAAATTCGGAACAGATGTAGATTATGGTCTGAAGTGATACATAGGCATTTTACCCCTGGGACCGCGGGCGAAGCTGCTGGCAGAAGCTAGTACTTAATATTACTAATTAGTCTACTCGACACCTTAAGGAGTGGCTTGAGAGACGCTACGGCGTCCTCACCTACCGCCTGACGCAGGTGTTTACCGGACACGGAAGTTTCGATAGGTTCCTGTTTCGGATTGGGCGGGAGGAAACGCCCGGGTGTCATCACTGCGAGGATCGCCCAGAGGACACGGTGGAGCATACGGTGGCGGTGTGTCCTGCGTGGACTGAGCACCGCCATGTCCTCAGGAATGTGATCGGCGACGGCGACTTCTCGCGTCCGGCTCTGGTTCAGACCATGGTACGGAGCGAGGGGGACTGGGATGCCGTCTCCTCCTTCTGCGAAGCAGTCATGCTAGCTAAGGAAAAGGCGGAGCGCGTGACGGAACGAACCTCCTCACCACCCGGCCGTCGCGAAAGGCACTCCGGGCGTCGGGGATCGCGAGACGATCTCCGGCCACAGTAAGCACGGGCCTGCGGACGGCGAGCACGGGTGAATTGACGCCCGAACAGAATCAGGCCCCAGCGTACGGCGCGTCGCGTTCCGCGCGCGCCTCAAGGAGCCATCGGACCACCACAGATGGGGCCTAACAGGGCTGAAGCCGATACGAAGCCGCGGAAGACTTAACGGGTTGCCGGGGCTCCGGCTCGAAGTGCAGGAGTAGGAACGGGGTGGGTTTTAGTCAGTAAGAGTCTGACACTCCCTCCCGCCTCACCCAGGCGGGAGGAATCACTGGATGATTTTCCCCCCTTAAAACTTAAAAAAAAAGCAGGTCACATGATGCTAGTTTTGAAAATACAACTGGTAGCAACATATTCAAAGAATGCTTCAGTCATTTGGGAAACGCTGGCCCCAGGAATATTCAACGAATCTTATGCATACCTAGGCACAAGTGGTCCAACAAAATTCCAGTACCAAATCTAGGCGACATTGTCTTAATAAAGGAAGATGATTTGCCACCAAGTCCTTGGTTATTAGGTAGATTATATAAAAGCATCCCGGAAGTGATAACCTAACTCGAGTCGTTACTTTAAGGACAAAATCATCCCCAATCGAACGACCGACTGCCAGGCTGTGCATTCTACCAGTAACCGATTGATTGAGATCTATAATGCCCTTGAGATCAACTTGTGAACACTTAGCTTTGTGTTTACAAGTTTCAATTTTACTTTTACATTATTTTAAGTTTTACAAGTCTTAAAAGGTTTATTTTTACAAGTTTTTTCCTACACATTTTAAAATTACTTTTAGGTTTTATTTTTACATGATAAGTTTTGTTTTAGATGTTTTGATCAATTTATAAAGTTTTGTTATACTTACATAATTTGTACTTACTTACCTGTGTAAATTTTAGTTTGTGTAATAAAGTAATCATTTATTTATTACCTAAGGGAACTTTGGTGTCAACTTAGGATATTCATGTTTGTTATGTAGGATCCTAATATAAGATCAAATTGTTATTGAAATATGTTATTGAGAAGGACATTCTGTCAATAATGTCCTTAGTGGGCGGTATGTTGATGACCATAACCCAATACACAAGCTTCACACAAGTAACGCAACTACACCAAAGTAAAACGGGGTGAATAAAAGTCGAGGGGTGAATAGATACAGGAATGGGGTGAATAAATTTTGGGAAAATATTCTAACATTTGAATTTTCTTACATGGCGTTGCCGCGCTTGGCGATGCAAAGATTATCCGCGCGCCTCTAGCGGCAAAATTTAGAAGTTGTCTAAGAACGACAATTTGCTTTCGAGTTGAGCTTAATAAGTTTGTACATAATCAAATGGATCAAGATTACATACAGAAACCTGTTTTTAATAAAAGCAGAAACACAAAACATGTTGATGTCTGTTAAGTAAATAGTAAAATAAACGTGCAACAATATTGAATATTACAATATTGAATTATGATTTTTTATGGTTTTAAAATAAATAACTATTGTATGCAAGTTAATTAAATAAATAAATACAACTTCAAATACCTATAACTAACTAAAAACTAAAATATTTACACCTTAAAAATAAATCGTGAGGTAGGGTGCCCAAAAGACTGGCAGCATTGCCACGTTGAATGGCAAAATAATATAATAAAACCCTCGACATCCATCTCAGGAGGCTGGCGTTAGGTGGATGGATCAAGGGCCTGATACAAAAGGCAGTTATCCTAGAAACGGCACGTATCGTGAGGAGGTTTCTGTCTCTGGAGCCCTAACCACCGGTAGCTTGGACCATGCTCCCGCTACTGGTCGGCTCCTATTTTTCATATTTTTATAAGTAGTATTTAAAAATGTAATTTATAGAGAATTTAAAATAAATTATATGGAAATATAATAATATTACTTTTACGGCTAGTCATTCAATTGAACTTTTAGAAACATGGTGGTGTTGTTAAGGTACAGATAGGTACAATGTACATATATTAAAATAATTAGAACATGTCTGCATATATATACAAAACAAAACAACAATGTCTCTAAATGACATATTTTGTTTAATTTTTACCAATGTCAAAATTACTCTGTCTCTCACAGAAAATATTTGTGGCAGCGACTTCTAATTTATCAGTGGGTGTGTAAGCTATAAGTACGTATGACCAATAATAGTTATTTTTTGCATTTTAGTTTTTACTTTATGTTTGTTTTTCTAAGTTAATAATTTTTAAAAGTTTTCCTCGGTTTCCCTGGGATTCCATCATCAGATCCTGATTTTATGACAATGGGACCAAATGACAAACCTACCCTTTCAAACAAAAAAAATATTTTTGAAATCGGTCCAGGCGTCTTCGTGTAATCGAGTAACAAACATAAAAAACAGTCTTTTTGAAGTCGGTTGAAAAGTAAATAAATACATATCACAGCTGAGTAAATCTGAGAAGGTTATTTGGTGTAGGTACAACTGATCTAGTTATGTTTCTGCCACCGACAGAGGGTGCAAATGAAAACTATAATCATGAAACTAAGTTTATTATAATTAAAATTACATGTTAACTCTTAAAATCTAAGTAACCTAAGAGCGAATGCGTTCGATGTTAGAACAACACTGCTTTCTTATCTTAAAATTCTTTATTATAAAATTAGTATGACGGTTTTATTGAGGTTAAATCTAGTGGGGTGATCGATGATGTAGCGATTCGTCGCTGGGCACAAGGCGGCGACAAGAGGAGACGACTCAGCAGTTCGGATGTTGCAATACTCCGTAGAACCTTCGTTGCATCAAAGTAGGTGTAATGTCCTGATTCAGCAGATCTGGGCCTAGCGACACAGCTGATCACGGTAGGTACATGTGTCGGCACCGATCTTTTCTTTTTCCATACAGGAAGAAAATTTATTTGATTCATAATTTTGTCTTTTGGAAATAAATAAAAACTTTTTCCCGAATCTCCGTAAGTATTACATTGACGAAAGCAACAATATTTTGTGTTTCTGCTTTTATTAAAAACAGGTTCCTGTATGTAATCGTGATCCATTTGATTATGTTTAGACTTAATAACTTCAACACGAAAGCAAAGTGTCGTTCTTAGACAACTTCTGAATTTCGCCACTAGAGGTGCGCGGATCTTGGCATCGCCAATATAGTTTTCTGTCGATGTGCCATAATGTGGTGGTGTGGTGGTGGTGATAATGGCTTTGATATAAAGGTATTATATCTATGGATAGTGGTCAAACATCGACCCATCAAATCAGTGGCGTCATAGTATAAAGAATACTATGGTGGCGTAGCGTATCTTGCCCCGTACACAAATTTGTTTAGGGGCCCTTGAAGGGTACCTAAACATTTCTCACAAGAGATTTTTTACATAAAATACTTATAATTTTGTGTAAAAATAGAAAATCTTTTCAGGTAACTCCCTATGCTGTAAATAGCGTACCTTAATTACTTTTATTTTTCCTAAGTTTCGTCAACCATCGAACGCATGCTACGCGGGAAAAAAACATTTATTTTTTGTGATTACTTAAACAGAATACAAATTGGGATGTTTTTATTAATTTTTGCTTAAGCACATTGGGGGCCCCGGAAGTCCGGGGGCCCCGTATAATACAGCAGATACGACGCTAGCTACGCCCAGCTTCAAATATGAAAAACGAGATGTCTTGAATGAAATCGTTTTTTGACAAATCGTGATTGCGTGACATTTGACATTGACAACCTGACAACTGACAACATTAGTTAGAACTTCATTCATGTACTTATCCAAACGTGTGTGGTGGTCCGTCCGGTAGTCCGCGGTGAGCGGTGAGCAGTTGAATTAAAAAGTACATTTTTGTACATTGTGTATTCACTATTTAATAAAGAATAATAATAAACCATTTCTACTTTCGTGGGAAGAAATATTGAAAGGAAGCCTACATGGCTGACACGAATACTGCAAGTTCGGAAGTTTTATGTATCGTGTCAGAAAGTAACAATCTTTTTTAAACATGTACTCGTGGACCAAAACTCGTATTTGTAACCAAAATGTGAGTGTATGACTAGTGGCCAATTTGCTGCGTTAAAAATAGCGTGAAGTTTTTTCTTATAAATACATTTAAGCATTATTGAAATAAAATGTGAAGCCGAAATAATAAAATTAACAATAACACAGTTTCAAAGGCAGCTGGCCGCTGAAGAAGTATGAAGGAGATAACAGGCTGCTGCGCAACAAGTTGAGGTCGAGAAGCTGGCATGGCGCTGGACACGTCTCGGCGCGAGGCGCTCGTGGTGGTGGGGCTGTGCCTGGCGTGGTACGCGGCCAGCTCGGCCAGCAACGTGGTGGGCAAGCTGGTGCTGACGGACTTCCCGTACCCCGTCACCGTCACCATGGTGCAGCTGCTGAGCATTGTACTGCTGAGCGCGCCCGCCTTCGCGCTGTGCGGCGTGCGACGCCAGACTGACTTCCCGCGCCGCTACTACTGGCGGACTCTCGTGCCGCTCGCCTTTGCCAAGTTCCTGACCACTATTTGTTCCCAAGTTTCCATTTGGAAAGTTCCCATCTCCTATGCGCATACAGGTGAGTTAATACATAGACTGGCTTTAAGATAGTGAAAAATTTTGATTATTCGGACTGTAGACTTGGTCCGACTTTGGCATGTGCTATTTATTGGTTAAATAATACCTCATACCAAAATCTGACACATTGTTGAAATTATTGTAGTTACATGAAAAGGATCAAATCCAAACCAAGCCACTTTAGATATGAAAACTACAAATCGAAAAAAAAAAACAAAATGCAAAACCAATGTATGTAGTCTGGGCCCACCCGTCAATAGCAACATACCGTCGAATAGGGCTTCTTAAATGCAAAAATAGTTACTAATATACCTATGATTAAATAATATAAGTGCTTTCAGTGCTGATTCGGCTGCTGCCTCTGCAGAAAGCCTCAAGCGGCGCAAGTATAACAACCTTGCTGGTAGTTATATCTTACCGTTTGGGGTTGAGACGCTAGGTCCGTGGAGTACAAGTGCACTTAAATTATTCAAAAATATTTCAAAACGCCTGGTTGACACATCTCGTGACCAGAGGTTAAGCATTGCCATACAAGGTGGCAATGCTGCCAGCCTTCTGGGTACTTTCCCCACTGACATCGATGCGGACGAATTTTTCGACACTTTATGTAAATAGTTGTTTTTGTTTTTTCTTATTTATTATTAATTTTAATCTTAAGTTGTATATAGGTATTTAATTTAGTAATATATAGTTTTAATTTTTTTTAAGTAATAGTTTATTTAGAAATAGTTGTCTAATTTAGAAATAGTTCGTTTTAATTTTATTTAAGTTTTTATTTGAATAAATGACTTCAAAAACAACACATTGATTGAAAATGATCAGTGTTGCCAGTGCTTTCAGATATACAACATCCTGAAGTCATCTCAGTCTAAAGTATTCTGTATGGAGATTTTTAAGATTTTCATCTTATGATTATAGATGCTCTTTCTACTATATATAGGATAGTAGAGAAGCTCATTGATAAATAATAATATGCATACAAGTTGATCCTAAAGGTTTTGCATGCTGAGGTCACTTTTTGGATGGGTGGCAGTTTAGTATCGAATTGCCTTTCTAGTATGTTTTAGTAGAAGTAGTAGGGATGTAGTGTTGGTTTTTTGTATGGAATTTGCCACTGTCTTTTTAAGAGCTGTGTTGGTCAATTATCAATTTATGGATGTCGTTGCGTAAAGAAACTCCTAGGATTGCTCTCTGCATCTCTTATTATGCAACTTTAAGCCTTTCTAGAAGGCAAGAAGTCGGGGATCATGTCTCAGTACTATGGTCCTGACAGGAGAGCTCTGTTAGCTCTTGTACTGAATAAATTGATGTTTGATTCCTGCATGGAGCAATATTTTGTGTGATCCACAAATTGTTGTTTCGGATCTGGGCTTTTTTTTTAAGAAATAGAAAAAAGTTGTTCATTGTGAACCCTTAATATAAATTGTGTACATTGTGTGTTTGATCATGTTGTGGATTGGATACTTTTCATTAATCTTAATCATTCAGCAAAGTTATTTGGTATGCAGGTAAGTAAAGATTGAATTAGTACAGAAAAAGTAATGATATTTAATTATATGCTTTTTCTTAACTGCTTGCGTTAATTCAGTTTTTATTTTACATTAGAACTAGTGGTAATGACTATTGTGGTGCATTGGTGCATACATTAGTGTTGACTATTGACTGAGCATTTTGGTACAATTATTGATTATGTAATTACAATTTGTTAATTAAAATGATAAATGAGTGAATGAAATGAAAGACGTATGATGTAATGTGCGCAGTGAAGGCGACGACCCCGCTGTGGACGGCGGGGCTGGCCTGGCTCCTGTTCGGCGAGCGCCAGTCGCGCGGCGTGCAGCTGGCGCTGGTGGTGATCGCGCTGGGCGTGGGCGTGGCCTCGGCCACCGAGCTGCAGTTCGACGCGCTGGGCCTGGGCGCGGCGCTGGCGGCCGCGGCGCTGCTGAGCCTGCAGCACCTGTACTCCAAGCGCGTCATGCGCGACACGGGCGTGCACCACCTGCGCCTGCTGCAGGAGCTGGGCCGCCTGGCGCTGGCGCTGTTCGCGCCGCTGTGGCTGTGGCGCGACGCGCGCGCGCTGTGGGCGGGCGCGGCGCCGGGCGCGGGCTGGGCGCAGGGCGGCGCGCTGCTGGCGGCCGACGGCGCGCTGGCGTGGCTGCAGGCGGTGGCGGCCTTCAGCGTGCTGTCGCGCGTGTCGCCGCTGGCGTACGCCGTGGCGTCGGCCGCCAAGCGCGCGGCGGTGGTGGGCGCGTCGCTGGTGGTGCTGCGCAACCCGGCGTCGGCGCTGAACGTGCTGGGCATGGCGCTGGCGGCGCTGGGCGTGCTGGCCTACAACCGCGCCAAGCTGGCCGCGCGCCGCGAGCCCGCGCTGCCCGTCTGACGACCTCTGTCGTCCCTGTGCTGCTCTTGTAAAATATTTTTATATGTATTATGACAACGTTATAAGATATTAGTATAAATTGACGATATAATATATAATGTTAATGTATATTTAAGTGCAAAAATGCATAATAAACAAATCGTTTTAATTTTACGTATTTTCTTACCTTTAAAATTATTAAGACAACTCATTTACAGTGGAGCTGCAAATAACCCAGCGTAATACCTGGACTCTCCGCTCTCCGCCTCACTCGTGTGTGAGGCGGGGAGCTAAGGGAGTGTCAGGACAAGCCATGGGATTTTACTCCCTTGAAAAGGTCAAATTTTAAGTTTAAAAATCGACTTGGTACGCGGAATCCCGTATTTTACCGTTCCCGTAAGATTTTCAGGAAATCCTTTGTCAAAAAGTATTCTCAGTCCGTCGCCCGGTTCTAAGATACCTCCCCACCAATTTTCAGTCAAATCGATTTAGCTATTTATGAGTTATAAATAGTAGGTATGACTAACACGACTTTTATATATTTATATAGATATAATATAGAATAGACAACTTATTGTTATTGAACTAATGTCAAAAGTCGATCTTAATGTAAAGATTTTGCAGTCAGATCGTTTATTGAAATCGTTGAAACATTTAGAGTTGAAAATTTCCTGGTATCTTTTTCAATATGTAGCGACACTAGTGTTGATATATTTTATGTGTTCTCAAGTGCGTAGCTGCGCCTGCGACCCTATAGCGTTAGCACGCCAGTCCTCTCCCAACTTTGGTGTGAACCAGTAATATTTTGTAACATTATAGATTAGTTGTGAATTGTGTATTTCTTAGAACAATATAAACACAAAGTTTTACCTACTTTATTTTGGACTTTCATTGAACACACGAACTATTCTGGAGTCAAGTGAATTTAAATAAGAATACAAACCACATTCTAAAAGGAGTTTTTAAAGTTTGCAATTTCATAGATTTTGGTGTGTTCCTTCCGATTTTCCATTTTGCCACCTCGAAATACATCGCTTGCGCCGCCATAGAAAAATCGCGCCCACTAACAGTTTTTATATGTTTACTCCTGTAGGCCTAAGCCTAGTTCAGATACCCGAGCGTACGGCGCGTAGCGTTCCGCGCGTGCCTCAAAGAGCCATCAGACCACCACAGATGGGGCCCAACAGGGCCGATGCCGATTCAGTCAGTAAGAGTCTGACACTCCCTCCCGCCTCACCCAGGCGGGAGCAGTCATTCAATGATCGCCGATAAAAAAATTAATAAAAAAAAAGCCTGGTTCAGATGGCAAGCGCTAAGCGTACCAGGCGTTATTCAGGCCGTACATATGCTGCTAACGCGCGTGTACGGCGAAGTGTACAATGTGTGTAGTTGTAAACGGACGCTTAGAGCTTGCCATCTTAATCTAGGCTAATGCACATGTGATTGAGATACATTGAACCTCCAGCTGTTCTTGATGGATGGATTTAATGTCTTCGGCACCTATCGGGACGTCATCTATAGCTACACATTATAATTATAATAAACTGAAAAATTAAAATTCTGTACATTAAGGTTATTTCAAAAATAGCGGGGGTGTTACTCATATCGATATCTCGATATAAAACCCTAGTTTTTCGTCTGTCTGATATTTGTGCGCGCATCATATGACAACTACTGATTCGAATGCGGTTTTCACAGCTGCATTAGTCCTTCTTCAACTTAACATCTGGTGTATAAATAATTGGAGAATAATAAAGGTGTGCGTTCGTTACTCAATCACGCCAAAAAGGCTAAATGGATCATGGGATGTTTGGGACAGGGGTAGATAATGGTCTGCATTAATACATTGGCCTGCCTGACTGCCTCGTTAGCCCGGTATATGGCAATAGGCTCACTCCCCTATTACATGGTACTCATAACATTAGTGAAAAGTGAGTGTTATGGCTTCATAATAATCACCTCTGCGGGGATAAAAGACGTGATGTATGTAATACACAGCTCATGAGAACATGAGCGAAGCCGCTGGCAGAAGATATTAGATAGTATATCAACACCAGTGTCGCTATATTTTCTCTTTATATAATGTTATAACTTGTTAAAGTAACTTTAGAAACCTAATAAATAACGGTTCATGTCACTGCATTGTTACGAGAAGCATACAGTTTTTGTTCTGCGAGGGTAAATGAAAGATCCAGTTAATAATAAATTATAATTTATTTACATTAACTATCAATTCATAATCTCACACGTGACACGTTCGCAAGTATAAAAAGTTACGTCATGGTCATCACACACGGAACGTTCACTCAGTCGCGGAATGTGGCTCCAGGAACAGCTCTACAGCTCGTCGTGGTCCTCGGCCGCCACCTCGTCGGCCTCCTCCGGCGCCGCGTCGGCCTCGGCCTGGTCGTCGGCCTCGTCGTCCGCGTCGTCGTCGGGCGGCGCGGCGCCGGCGGGCACGCCCAGCGACTGCTGCAGCATGTCCTCGACGGCGGCGGCGAAGTCCACGGCCTGGCCCTCCTGCAGCATGTAGCCCGAGCGCAGCGCCGCCGTGCGGTACAGCGTGTCGGCGGCCAGCGCCGTCTCGGGCGCGTCCGGGGCCTCCTGCACCCGCCGCAGGAGCTCGGCGATGAGCGGGTGGCGCGGGTTGATCTCCAGCATCTTCTTCTGCGTGAGGTGATGGCGGCGCTGCGCGTCGTCGGCCTTCTGGTGCGCGTTGGAGAGCGCGAGGCGCTCCATGTTGCCGGTCCAGCCGAAGGCCGTGGCGGCCAGCGCGGCGGGCGAGCGCGCCAGGCGCCGCGACACGACGCAGCGCGTGATCCAGGCGCCCAGCTTGTTGCCGAGCCACGTCGTGAGCGGCTCGAACTGCTTCTTGTAGGCCTCCAGGCGCTCCTTCTGCTGCTCGTCTGCAAGGAGGCGGACCCTCAGTACTCGGCGCGCGATACCACGCGGCGGGCGCAACGCTCGCGATACTCACTCTCTTCCAGGTCGAAGATCTCCTTGGCGATGTTCTGGAACTTCTTGCCGTCGTACTCGGGCAGCGAGGACAGACAGTACTCGTCGACGGCCTCCGTCAGGTACAGCACTTCGTAACCGCGACGTACTAGACGTTCAGCGAACGGAGATTTCTCAACCTATGGATGCAATTTTATATAATAATTAACATAATCATTTTAATAAATGAGCAAATTAGTTCCTGTTACTAAGTGACTGACTGACTAAAATAAACTAAAACTACTCGTCGTAGAGAGCTGAAGTTAGCATGTGTTCGTTGGGATTTTTGGAAATTCTCTCCCTAAGAGGAAAAGAAAAAAGGCCGTTGAAGTGGTCGTACGTACCTCGGCGCGACTGGAGCCGGCGATGTAGTAGATGTGGTTCTGGTTGGGCTTCATGCGCGCCACGTAGTCGGCCAGGAACGTCATCTGCTCGCCGCGCGACGAGTGGAAGCGGAGCAGCTTGGCCAGGCGCGAGCGGTTGCTCGGGTCCTCGATGACGCCCAGCTTGATGCTGCAAGGACACGCGTCACGTCACTGTCCGCGGGGCGCTGACGGCGCTGACGGCGCTGACAGCCTTACACTGCCGGTACTTACTTGGTGGAGTATTCCTTCCAGAAGCCCTCGTACTCGGAGTCAGGGATCTTCTTGAGCATGTCGAGCACCTTGCGTACGAGCTTCTTCTTGATGATCTTAATGAGCTTGTGCTGCTGCAACGTTTCTCGACTGACGTTCAGCGGCAGGTCGTCGCTGTCCACGATACCCTGCGGGGAGAGAGACGCATCAATTAATGTTGACTCGACTTTTCAATTCAATCTAATGTTCAATAAAAACTGCATTTAAAAATCCGACAAAAAGTAATGACAAACAAAAGGTCAAAACTAAAAAGCATAAAATAACTATTATTAGTACTGATAGGTTACCCACCCACTGGTAGATTAGATGTCGGTGACATATTATATATTTTATTATATTATCATTTTCAGTGTTAAGCTACATATATCAGTTTTGTCACTTATAATCTACATAGGTGCAAAGTTCTAATCAATACAAATTATACAAGCCCAAACTATAAACCGTTGAAGAGTTCCCTTAACAATTACACTTCTTCATCATCAGACTCTTTAATGACTGTCGCACTCTTATAGAGTATAAAGTCCTCATCAATACAAATTAATCAAGGTCAAACACAAGGTAGTTAATATAAACCGTTGAGGAGTCTCTCGACTGTCTGTCGGCTCCATCATCAGGTCGATTCCAGACCCTTATCAAATTGTAGTGTTTAAAAATCCTAATTAAAAAACATAAAATCGGCGAACAAACAAAAAAAAACAATTAGCCGAACGTAGTACCTCTTCCCTTTTTGAAGTCGGTAAAAACAACCACACTGTCGTTAATTATTAATTTAACATTTCATCTATTTCATTGTTGTATTTGTGTAGCTTTATTTGGAATAAGACAAATAAATACGATATTTCGTGTATGAAACAATAAAAAAAATATTTGTCGTATAAAATTCATAGAAATTGTATTTTTTACATATTATGTAATTATGAAAATTATTTTAAGCTACAATAAAACTGCAGAAATATGAATATTGCACCTATATTACAGAATCATCGTTAGCGGGGGTGTTACTATATCGATATAGAAAACAAAAATTTGGTTACATTTATGATCGTAGCAATTGGCGTTCCATAGTCTCTGCCTAGCCTATTGGAAGACAGGCGTGACGTTATGTAAGTATGTATTTTGGTCTGTCTGTCCGTCTGTATGTCTCTGCGCCCAAACCACACCCGCGTTCACATTTAAACTACTTCCGATTCAAATGCGGTTTTCACAGATTTATTGTCCTTCTTCAACGTAACATCTGGTGTATAATATTATTCCTGGTATTTTGATGATGGTGACCATACACAACAAGTCATATTTCTTCATTTTCTTGTCAGAAATATTTTGTAATAAATGTTTATAAACGATTTCAAAGAACATAATAAAGCTCATTGTGGACTTTTTAATTTTTTTTTTTTTTGTTATAAGGCCACGGAATCTGAACAGAGTGAACCATTAACTGACCACTAATGAAGCAAAAAAAAAATCATTTCGCTTGATTGGCTAGCGTATTCACTTAATATGTATACGGTTTATGGCCTATGACAGATTTTCATGATCGCTTTCCCCTCAGTCGAAAACCCGCAAAATACTTTACTGAGCCCTATCATGAATTGCTATGCTTGTCAGTTGCGGCGTTGGTAGCGGATTGAGTAGCGGCAGTCGTCAAAACACGAAAAAAACCTTTTTCTGTCTACTTCTCCCGACTTCCTTCCGATTAGTAACTAATCTAACTACAGTTAATACTTTAATCTACAGCTAGCATAACATTCTGGCGTACAATGGCGCGCAATTTGAAGTTAGGAATTGTGACAAAAATATGAATAATTTGAATAAAAAAATCAAAGTAAAATGTTTGACTCCAGCTCCTTTCACATAACTCAGTCCAGACTGAGATTTCCATATATGAGCCCATAGACGATTTCGTTTGTTATGTCATTCTAGATAATATTTTCCATAAATCATCGACTGCCGCCCGTAAAAAGAGAGGTACCAATTTTAGTCAACGCCCTTTGAGAAAGGTGTAGATTTTGGTCTGCAATAACACATAGGCTATACGCGATCGAAGCCACTGGCAGAAGCCAGTTTAAAATAAGTACCGAATTCGGCTAGGTAGCTAGGTTAGGTTACGCGACAAAGGCCTACCTGGATGAAGGCGAGGTAGTTGGGCATGAGGTCGTTGAACTCGTCGGTGATGAAGACACGGCGCACGTAGAGCTTGATGTGGTCCGTCTTAGTGCCGTAGCGGTTGAACGAGTCGGCCGGCTGTACCCGCGGCACGAACAGGAGCGCGCGGAACGTCACCTCGCCCTCCGCCACGAAGTGGGCCCTGCACACACACTGTGTCACTGCACACACACACACACACACACCGCGGCACCAACAGTAGAACGTCACCTCGCCCTCCGCCACGAAGTGGGCCCTGCACACACACTGTGTCACTGCACACACACACACACACACACACACACCGCGGCACCAACAGTAGAACGTCACCTCGCCCTCCGCCACGAAGTGGGCCCTGCACACACACTGTGTCACTGCACACACACACACACACACACCGCGGCACCAACAGTAGAACGTCACCTCGCCCTCCGCCACGAAGTGGGCCCTGCACACACACTGTGTCACTGCACACACACACACACACACACCGCGGCACCAACAGTAGAACGTCACCTCGCCCTCCGCCACGAAGTGGGCCCTGCACACACACTGTGTCACTGCACACACACACACACACACACACACCGCGGCACCAACAGTAGAACGTCACCTCGCCCTCCGCCACGAAGTGGGCCCTGCACACACACTGTGTCACTGCACACACACACACACACACACACTGTGTCACTGCACACACACACACACACACACACACACACACCGCGGCACCAACAGTAGAACGTCACCTCGCCCTCCGCCACGAAGTGGGCCCTGCACACACACTGTGTCACTGCACACACACACACACACACACACACACCGCGGCACCAACAGTAGAACGTCACCTCGCCCTCCGCCACGAAGTGGGCCCTGCACACACACTGTGTCACTGCACACACACACACACACACACACCGCGGCACCAACAGTAGAACGTCACCTCGCCCTCCGCCACGAAGTGGGCCCTGCACACACACTGTGTCACTGCACACACACACACACACACACACACACCGCGGCACCAACAGTAGAACGTCACCTCGCCCTCCGCCACGAAGTGGGCCCTGCACACACACTGTGTCACTGCACACACACACACACACACACACACACCGCGGCACCAACAGTAGAACGTCACCTCGCCCTCCGCCACGAAGTGGGCCCTGCACACACACTGTGTCACTGCACACACACACACACACACACACACACACACACACACACACCGCGGCACCAACAGTAGAACGTCACCTCGCCCTCCGCCACGAAGTGGGCCCTGCACACACACTGTGTCACTGCACACACACACACACACACACACTGTGTCACTGCACACACACACACACACACACCGCGGCACCAACAGTAGAACGTCACCTCGCCCTCCGCCACGAAGTGGGCCCTGCACACACACTGTGTCACTGCACACACACACACACACACACTGTGTCACTGCACACACACACACACACACACACCGCGGCACCAACAGTAGAACGTCACCTCGCCCTCCGCCACGAAGTGGGCCCTGCACACACACACACACTCACACACACACCCTCACACACACCCTCGAACTCACACACACACACACACACCCTCGAACTCACACACACACCCTCACACACATATACACCATCGCGAGCACTTACTTGGCTAGCTGAGGCGAAGTGTCCTTTGTTAGGCTCTTGTAGAACTGAGTGTACTCTTCCTCGTTGACTTCGTTAGGCTTGCGCGTCCAGATGGGCTTATTGTCGTTCATGAGCTCCCAGTCCCAAACTGTTTTTTCAGTCTTTTTGGTTTCGCGTTTCTCTTCAGCGGCATCTTCGACCTAGAATACGATGTGCAATTATTTATTTCGTAATACGAGGTGGAAGGAATGCTACTAGACGGCCGAGACGGTAGCGGCGAGTACCTGTGCGTCCTCGTCGTCGGCCTTGTCTTCTGCGTCGGCGTCGGCGTCGCTCTCCTCGACGGTCTCCGTGCGCGACGCCCATAAGTAAATGGGGAAGTTAATGAACTGCGAGTATTTCTTCACGAGGTTGCGGATGGTGTCGGGCTGCAAGTAGTCCGCCGCCTCCTCCTTCACGTGCAGCCTGCAGGAGTCAGTGCGTGAGTAGAGCGTGCCGAGTCAGTCTGCTCGGCCCTGATACTCGCGGGATGCGCGAGGGCCGAGTCAGTCCGGCCGGCCCTGGTACTCACGTGATGTGCGTGCCGCGGCGCAGAGTGTCCCCGCGCGGGTCCTCGGCGACGCTGAAGGCGCTGGCGTCGGACTCCCAGACGTGCTGCTTGTCGGTGTTGCTCTTGGAGACCACGGTGACCTTGTCGGCCACGAGGAAGGCGGAGTAGAAGCCCACGCCGAACTGGCCGATCATGTCGTTCATCTCTTGCGCGCCGCTCTGCAACAGACGCACGTCACGGACCGCCCTCGCAGAGACCAGTCTCGCGAGGAGGCCGGGCTTACCTTCTCCGCGTCTTGCATCTTGGACAGGAACTCGGCGGTGCCGGATTTGGCGATGGTGCCGAGGTTGTTGATGAGCTCATTGCGAGTCATGCCGATACCGGAATCGATGATGTGCAGGAGTCGTTTCTCCGGCTCGGCCTTGATGCGAATGCTTAGGTCGGAGTTGGCGTCCAGTACGTCTCGCTCCGTAAGTGACAGCAGACGGATCTTGTCCAGAGCATCTGATCCGTTTGAAATCAACTCTCGGAGGAAAATCTGCAACAGAAGGCGCGTTGTGTTAGTTCTCGCAGGTAGACAGCGATGCGCAGAAGGGTAATCCGGGCCTCACCTCTTTGTTCCTGTACAGCGAGTTGATGATGAGTTTCATCATTCGGTTGACTTCCGTCTGGAATGTATAGTTCTGTGCGCGCTCCTTTATCTCTCTCATCTGTGCCACGCTCAGCTCGTCCGGCGAAATGGCCTCCTCCTCTCGTAACACCGCCTCGGCATCTGTGTGCAACATAACATCACATAACTGTCTTGTCCATGTTAATATCTATATCTAATAGATAAAAAATGCACGAATGTGATAGAAGTTACTATATAAGAAAGGATTTTGTAAATACAGAGTGTAAATGGAACGTTCCTGAAAAATGCCGACAGGTGATGGTCAAAAACAAGTTCTATTTTCATAAAAGTAAGGAATTAAACGTTTCAGTTGTGTAATAATACATAGTTGTAATCAACCGCCCAAGGTTGATGTTGCATGAATAACACGAAAAAAACCTATCAAAATTGTTAAAACTATTCTTTGTCACCGTTTTTCGACTTCGGGAGCGTTCCGTTTACTTTACACCCTGTATTATGTGGCGCTGTTACGTTTTCACAAACGCCTATTTTTGTATACAAGTGTACATTTTTTCTTGAGTTCGGCTTTACAAACAATGTAAGCAATTTTTTGATCTCTTTAAATTTGTTGAAGTTTGAAGAGATAAAAAAAGTTTCAAGAAAATTATTGTGGATATCGGATGTAGTGTAGGAATTTCATTCATGAAGCCTAGCAACTGAAACACATCGATCAAACAGCCAGTCGCCGGCCTGGCACGGACGATGGCGGAAGACAGCAGCGCGGCGGCCGGTGGAGAGCCAGGCGAGCTCGCCACCGAGCCAGGCGAGCTCGCTACCACGCGCCCGCTGCACGCGCGCTCCTTCAAGCTACGCTTCGCATCGCAGCGCGAGCAGGGCCGCTCCTACGTCTCCCTCGTCAGACCGCTCGGCCTTCGTAAGTCCTCCTCGAAGTCGTGAACCGAAGTGTTCGAGAACCGAAATGTGCAACTGTATGTCTTGTCTTCAGCCGCCACGGTAACGGGCAAGTTCTACGTGCGCGAGCAGCCCAGCAGCGTGGACGACGAGGCCACGCGGCGCGCGCTGCAGCGCATACAAAGCATGTTCGGCCGCGGGCCCGCAGACAAGTACGCCGCGCCCGTCACCAGTTCGCACGAGTTCGTAACCGCACTCACCACTCACTATGCATTCATGTAACGTTACACTTCAATTTGCTCACTCGATGAATGCCACACTCGTGTACAGCAATCACGCAAGTCCAGAATTACTAAAATAGTCTTTCGACGTGCAAAACACTTGAAGAGAGTGCAATCACCGACAACCTCCCACGGACACATTTTTGAAGCCGTTAAGAAGTATAGGCCGGTAAACGAGCAGATGGATCACACGATGATAAGCAATCGGCGCCGCCCATGAACACCCGAAACAGTACACTATTGTGGAGTTATAAGTCTGTTATCGGCCTTTTAGGATAAGGAAATTAGAAACAACGCTTCTGTCGTTTCATTTCGGTAAGGCCGTTGTTTCATTCCGGTCGAGCCGGCTCATTTATGCCGAAGCATCATAGCTCTCCCACACTTATAACAGTGTTTTGTTTTCGTGTTGCAGAAATAATTGTACGCATATTCGTAGGCCTGACTATCTTGTAACCCCGTGTCGTGAGTTTTTTTTTTTAAGCGGGAAAATCATCGAATGACTTCTCTCGCCTGGGTGAGGCGGGAGGGAGTGTCAGACTCTTACTGACTAAAAACTACCCCGTTCCTTCTCCTGCACTTCGAGCCGGAGCCCCGGTAACCCGTTAGGTTCTCCGCGACTCCGAACCGTGTAGTGAGTAACGCGTGTTTCCAGGGTGGGCTGGCACGCGGCGCAGGCCGGCGCGGCGCGGGCCGACGCGGCGCGGGCCGACGCGGCGCGGGCCGACCGCCGCTTCAACCACCACATCCGCGACTCCGCCTGGCTGAAGGCGCGCCTATGTGTGCTCGCGGCAGACGACAAGCTCAAACAGCGATACTGACCGTCTCCAACTATACACCGTGACTACACGTACATACTTGCAATAGTTGGCCATATTCAAGACAAGTTACGTCTTCAGGTTTTTTAATAAAAATATAAGATTTGGTTTTGCTGGATTATATTATTTCTAATTGGTGCAATTCTACCCGATATAACCGGTTTCTCATCACCGGTGTGTTGAGACTGTAATTATATAGTTTGAAGCTAATATGTGAAATAATGTTAAAAGACAAATTGAAGATCTAAGAGCAGCTGTGGTGGATCAGTGGCACAACGTTCCCTACTGACTTTCAAAAAGGCTCAAAAAAAAAACTGTACTGCTATATCCTGAATAAAGTCTATTTCATAATACTTAAGTCGATGTTCTATATAATCTGTTCACTACAAACTACTCAATACAGTTAGTTATCAAACAGTATTCACCTCAATCTAAGCAGGGACCAATTTTATCAGTAGGTTCATTTATTAGATAAAGTGATAGATGGGGAAAAATAATCCTTCATATTTATCAATTATGAACAATGTTATCAATTAAACAAATCCAATAAGCATGCTGCCCAGTTACATTCTAGAATTACATTCAAATTTACACCAAATACCTACTTTATTTAAAATGTTTAACATACAGCCTCGTTGGCCTCGGGTTCGATACCCGGGTCGGGCAAAGTATTACTGGGTTTTAAAAAAATTCTCAGTAGTAGCACGGAGTTTGGAATTGTGCCCGGTATATGGCAATAGGTTCACCCCCTATTACATGGAACTCATAACATAAATAGTGAAAAGCGGGTGTTACATTGTACAGTGGTATAATGTGCACCTATGCCTACCCCTTCGGGGATAAAAGGCGTGATGTTATGTTGGTTTAACATAATAATCACTTCTCCTTCTACTCATACCAATACTTTTCACCACTATTTACGCATGGCTGGTCTAACTACAATACAACAATTTAAAGCAAGACTAAACTAACTACAGGTCATTGTTTACTGATTAATCATTTCACACTTTATTATAAAATATGTCAGTAAAGCCTCCACAGAAACTCCCTAAACAGGGATGGAACAAAGTCATATTGCTCTTTTCTATTCTTACTCGAGTTATGAGTTGAGTAGTCTGTGGGTTTTATAGTAGAACTCCATACACAAATCTGTGTCTGATAAGAAACGAATCCACTTGACTAAAACATCGGCACAAAATGACGCAGGCCTAAACAAGCCGGCAAGATATTTCCAAGGGAGTTACCAGTTCGGGAAGCTTCGCGCGACGCGCCGAGGTCGGCGTCCACCGTCACCTCCTCCACGGACCCCACGCCTACGCCTTCTTGCGCATGTGACCATCCTGAAGCAATCAACACTTATTAAAACATGCCCAAATGAAGATAGTTCTTACCATGCTTACTATCACACCAGAAACATAACATGGAAATTTCTAGTCGTCATAACAGAACAAAAGAATTATTTTGTCTATAAACGTCTATCTAATAGACTTTTGTTACTAATATGTCTTATTAACAGTAAAATATCTTGATTTTCTTTCATAATATTTGTGATGGGAACATTAAACAAGCACAATCATCATTTAAAATAAAGCGCTACGTAGACAGACAACTCACCTGCAAGTAACAGGACGCCGACTCCGACCAAAACAAAATACTTCATGGTGTCACTTCCAATACCTGTAGTGTACTTAGTTTACTTCGTCGCTAAATTAATATTTTACAGACAAAAATAATAGATACATATGCCAGAACCCGCAGGCTAACTTTCTTACAGCGTGTAATAAGCGATGCGGCAAACTACAAGCTCTTCTGACTGAATCTGAAAAAGTGAATGAATGGCACTAACCCATTTCAAGTCGAATGACCGAACTAAGACCGAATTTTTGAATGAAATATTTTCAACATACAACAATTTTTTAGAATACCTTGATTCTGATTGGCTACCAATTAGAAAGAGTGTAATTATGATCCAATAAGATTCTCACACGCCAGAAAACTAGCAAATAGTAGATATTTAAATACAAATGTCGCTATCCTATTGGCTGAAGCTACCTGAGGACTCTGGCCGGGATTCGTGACCGATTGTATTGTATAGCACTGATATAGACTCTTTTTTAATATTAATATAGCAAAGAGATTATTAAATGCAGGGCATGAACGCTTCCAAAATGCTGGCAAAAAGAAAATAGTTTTTACTAATAATTATGCAAGCCTACCATTTATTCAAATAAAAAACTTAAATTAAAAACTAACTATCACTTAAAAAAAAATTAAAACTATATATTACTAAATTAAATACCTATATACAACTAAAGATTAAAATTAATTATAAGAAAAAACAAAAACAACTATTTACATAAAGCGTCGAAAAATTCGTCCGCATCGACATCAGTGGGGAAAGTACCCAAAAGGCTGGCAGCATTGCCACGTTGTATGCAAGCCTTGAGCGAATGATTACAATTTACAACTATTATTACATTAATTATTTCGTTACTTTTATGAAAATAAAACTTGTTTTTATCGTCACCTATTGAGTGGGATCGTTTATTTTTTTATTTCTTTGTCAACCACATCCTCAATACGAATAATAATATCAACTTTCATAAACAACAAACATGACATTGACATGATGAGTCCGCATGCATGACAGTGACAGTCTGTTTCAGTAAGACTTTACCTACCAAAGTTTTTATTTTGGCATTTTTTACTACTATTTATAATTATGTAGACGTACTAGAAACCTGCCATATAATTATTTCTATGCTATATTAATGACTTGTATATGGTGACAGTGCTTCAAAATTTATTAGAAGTAATAATTTATAATGGAACTTAATAAATCTAAAAAACGGATTACATATAAACCCAGCCGATGGCGCATCCATGAGTTTGAAATATGGAGTGGGGACCTTATATGTAAAGCTGCTGCACTACGTGTAGAAGGTGCTCTGTTACTGTGGCTCGGAGGCAGCGGCGTACCACAGCTCCACGAGATTGCTCTCGGGATGCCGTCGCTACAAACACAAGCCGATACTGCAAAAGCTGCTCTCGCAACTACGCTCCTAGGAGAAGACGGAGCGGCCGCAGCCCTAGCTCGCCGGCTGTCTGCTGCACTCGCACGCCCTGTATATGTGTGCAGCGGTTTGGAGTTTGATCGCTTCACCATGCCACTTGTTGAACGAGGACTCATTATGGAAATTAAGAGCAGACCTGAATGCTTTTAAAGGGCTACTGCTTTTAAGTACAATCTTTACTTTTATGTTAGAGATAATAAAAAGTAACTGTCTTGTTAATATTGTGTTTACAAACCCAGTTGAAGTATTCCATTCACATGTTATGATGTCTCATCCTATCTAAGCTCTCTACTAAATAATGTTTCTATTTTGTGTATTGAATTAAAATTACAAAAAGTGTAAGAAATTATCTCAGAATAGTTTTTTTAGCCATATATCTATTATGTACAATATTTAACCAACAATAAATATCATAGTTGTTCGGTTACTTCAAAGTCAGCAGCCCTGCTCGAGAATTGTATTGTGAACCTGATTGAAAAATATAAAAAAATAGAGTGACTATTAAGTCACAGTAACAGGGTTAACGTAACAAGCTTATGTTATGTTTGGGTCATGATTAGCAATATTTATTTCTTGATGTCTAGATTTCCTTGTCTTAAAAATAAATGGGCCTCACTAGGATTTTTATGGATCTTCTGTTTTGGGTGCATTTGCGAGTATACAATACACATCACACCATGATCCAGAATAATAATTTGCAGATCACACAGAGTTGTTTTGTGTGGGCATCACACCTGTGCAAAGCAAAAACTGGCAGTCGACTGCCAATAGAACACTGTTTTCAAGGACTATATATATAGTAAGTATTTAGCTGCATCAGAATCAGAGATTTTACAGAAAAAAAAAACGACTCAAAAAACTAATAAACTAAAAGTAAAAACTGTAGCCTGCTCACCTATGTTTCATTATTTATCATTTCACTAGCTGTTCCCCGCAACTTCGTCCGCATATTATAATGACTTCTGGAAAATTTTGAATTTTTTATTAGTCTTTTCCAAGGTTATTTCCAATGGTATGGAACAAATCTCATCAGCATCGATTCAGTTGTATTTATTGTGAAATTTTGTTCATTTTAATAATTTGAAAAATAAACAATCCCACGGATATATTTGTTACCCAGGATCCATTCACGTCAAAGTCAAAGTCATAGATAAATATCTGGTATTCTTCCCAACTTAGGAGACTCTTAAAGGATAAATATAAATATCATCGCAAATTAAAGGTATATGGCAGATTGGCGGATGAGGTGACCTTTAAACATCTGCGCGAGAGGATCACCAGACTTGAAGGTGAATGTTACACTGCTAACATAGCTAGTACAGAAGCCGGTATTAGAGTAAATCCGAAGCGATTTTGGAGCTTTGTCAAGCATCGCTCCAGGTCTGGCACTATACCTGGCTATTTAACTTACGGTGACGCCACGGTTTCCTCCACAATGACTATCTGCGAAGCATTCTCCACCCACTTTCGTTCCACCTTTCTAGAACCGGACATTGACTCCCATGTGTCTCAAATTCGTTCCCATGACGTCTCGACTGCATCTGACATTCATTCTATTGAAATTAAGGTCGATTCAATTATGAGATTGTTGTCCAACCTCGACCCTCACAAGGGCGCTGGGCCGGATAAGATATCACCCAAATTTCTTATTAAGTGTGCTAAATCTATAGCTCTCTCCAGTCTCCCTATTGTTTACAAAATCTTTATCTACAAGTACTGTACCCCAAGTCTGGAAGTCTGCCTATATTGCACCCGTGCATAAAAAAGGTCCAAAAACTGAAGTCACCAACTATAGACCTATCTCAAAGTTATGTATCTTGGGCAAAGTATTTGAGAGGGTGATATATGATCAGGTCTACGCGGCTCTTAGGAATTGTTTCAGTCCCTTCCAACACGGGTTTTTGAGGGGTCGTTCGACTGTTACTAATTTGGCTGTACTGAACGATTTCGTGTCGCGAAGCATGGATGGCGGAGCTCAAGTCGATGTAGTCTATACAGATTATTCGAAATGTTTCGATCGAATAGATCACAGAATTCTCCTATCTAAATTATGGCTTGCAGGTATCCACGGGGATTGCTTCGATGGTTCGCATCATATCTTGCATACAGGACTCAGGCCGTTGTTATCAATAATTATATATCTAGTTGGGTACCCGTTCCTAGCGGGTCCCACAAGGCTCTTTGTTGGGCCCCTTACTCTTCATATTATACGTGCACGTACGTACGTGTTCTTGTTTCCATTCTTCTCATTTACTCTGTTTCGCTGACGACATGAAGATTTATTCAGCTGTCTCGTGCTTCAATGACATGATGGCTCTTCAGTCGGATTTGGATCGACTAGATGAATATTGTCAGCGTAACAAACTGGACCTGAATCCTGCGAGGTGTTCAGTTATTACTTATAGTCGTGAACGTAGCTATTTTATTTTACCTTGTACCTTGATTACATTGTACCCAGATGCGATGTAGTGAGGGACTTGGGCGTTTACCACGACCGTAAACTCCTGTTTGATGACCATATTGAAGAGATAGTTGGTAAGGCATATAGAGCACTTGGCTTTATTATGAGGGTCTCTAAAGATTTCAAACAGGCAAAAACGCTCAAGATTTTGTACCTACTGCACTTATGTAAGAAGCCACTTAGAATATGGATCGCAAATATGGAATCCCTGTTACAGTAGGTACTTACATCCAGCGATTGGAGGCAATTCAACAGCGCTTTAATAAATTTCTTTGCTTCAAACTTCATGTTCCATATAGCTCAGACAAATATCTGGAATTTTGTAGGCAGTTTCATATTCTGCCCCTTACCAATCGCCGTCGGATAGCGGATTGTACCACACTGCTAAAAATCATCTCAAATGAAATTGACTGTCCCGATCTCTTGTTCAAACTCTCTTTCAATGTCCCATGCAGATCTATTCGTTTACAATCCCCTACTTTTAATTCGGAATTCCTCAACGAGGTACAGGCAGAATTCTTTTATTATGCGTGCAAGCAGAGACTTAAACAACCTGTGTAAGGAGTATCCAATAGATCCGTTTGTAACGCGGACTTCTACGGTGCGAAGGATGCTCACCCTACAGTTTTTTATATATTTTTTTGATATAAAATTAAGTGGGTAACTTGGTTTACTTAATATTAATTTGTTATTGTTGGTAGTATGGTTGGTGTGTGTTTATTTTTTTATGTTTTTTATTGTTGGCTCTTGTTGTTTTTTTTTATTTTCTTTCCCTAAACGATGTATTTGTTTGGACTGTGAGTGTTTTTTTTAAATTGATAATGTGAAGTCTATTCGTGAAAACCTGTAATTGGCTTTCTGGTGTTATTATGTTATCTGTTTGTTTGCTATGTGTAGCTGTTGGTTTTCCAATCCATAAATAAATAAATAAATAAAAAAAAACTATCATACTTTGTTTCCTAGGTCTCAAACTACCGTTGACTGAATTTTACTCAAGTAAGTAGGTTCATTCAATGTTATAAAAGGTAGATAGTCCCGGCATTTTTAAGCATAGGTAGTTACTGATCTCGTAGGATTTTCGGGTTGAAATCTTTTAGACGTCCTTTCCTGGATCTCAAACCATCGTTATACTAAATTCCAATCAAATAGCTTAAGAGGTACAGAGTCGAGAAATTTTAACGCATAGTTCCCATTCTCATGAGATTTCTGAGATAAAAACTATAATAGGTACCTACATCCTTACTCCGGTTTAAAACTATCATTGTACTCAATTTCAGTCAAATAGGTTCATTGGTTTAAGACATAGAAAGTCCCGGGATTTACACTTAGTCCCCGATCTTCTAAGATTTCCAGGACATTACTATGGTACTTACTAATAATAATGTGGCCTGGTTTGCACCGGTGGCCTGATTTGACTATAGCACATTTAAAATGTGCAATAATCATGTGGCATAATATGTAGCCTATGTGTTGACCTGACCTGTTAGTAAGATTCATGCATTTGAAGTTAATCCACGAAGTACTTTTTGCGATCATCCCGGACATACATACCGACAAACAGACAAAAATTCCAAAAACCATATTTTTGGCTTCGGTTTCGGTGGTCGATCACGCACCAAGTATTCTTTTAAAAAAAATATTCAATGTATGTTCACTTTTGACTTTTCTACAATTTTATTATACCTAAGTACCTATAGATTTTTAGTGTAAAGCTACGTAGATCGATTTTTCCACTTATAATCTACATAGGTGCAAAGTTCTAATCAATACAAATTACTCAAGCCCAAATACACGGTAGTTACTGTATACCGTTGAGGAGTTGCCTTAACAATTACACTTTTTCATCATCAGCCTTAATGACAGCCCCACTCTATCTAGGTGTAAAGTTCTCATTAATACAAATTAATCAGCCCAAACAAAATGTAGTTAATATAAACCGTTGAAGAGTTCTCTCGACTGTCTGTCGGCTCCATCATCAGGTCGACTCCAGATCCTTATCAAATTGTAGTGTTCAAAAATTCTAATTGAAAAACATTGTAAAAAACAAGTAAGTACTTATGTTAGATTACATTACATCTTTATAGTAACTATTACAAAAATGTTTTTTATCTGTAATGATGTTATTATTTTATCTGTCGGAATGAATTGAGTCTGTGGGACTTTACATATGTCATGTAGAAAACAAGAAAGTTTTGTAATTTCTGTAAAATAATTAAATAACAAGTAAATTTGATAATTTGTTCTTATCGAGTAATCTTTTTATTAATCATACTACTTAGAATAATTAGATATAAATACTTTTATATACCTAAATTTGTGTAGATAATAAACGTTAACGTTTAACAAGTTGAAAAGTTTGTCTTTCAAATAGAAGTGATTTTGTAAAGACCATACTATGGAATGGACAGTTTGCTATCTGTGAAACATCCAATTGCTTTGTGTTGAGGTAAGAATAACCATTATGTTACAGGTCATATCGAAAAGTTTGCACGTTTCCTTATTCTACAGAGCACATTGGATAGAAATAAACAAGTGGTTTAAAATGTTATCAGTATATTGATGGCCTGATTGAGTTGATAAGTTTATAAATATCTTGTTAACCAATCACTACCACCAATATACTTATGGCCTTATGTTATGGTGACCTTTTTTCATTCCCAGTGTGTGGACTGTCTGTCAGATTGCCAGCAAAGCCAACAGGGACAGTGTGTAAACAAGTGGATGTGATAGTTGAGTGCTAGTCACAGGAGTGCTACGCTGCATGGCAGCGGGCTAGCACTTATTAATCCATGTGAAACAAGTAAATTGTAAACATGTTGTGGTGCACTATTAGGAATTATTTTCATAATTGTAAGATTCTGTTCATTTATAAGAGATCAGAAGAGATTTAATGCCAAATCTGACCTGGTTATTACACATATAAATAAATCATAATGCTATTTAGTTAACCTGTTGACAATCATCCCGTGAATTTGTTCATACAAAAGTAGTCTCCAAAATCAGAAATAAGGTCTATAATATAGTCAGTGCAGAGCGGTCACCGGTGACCGCTTGGGGATAAATGGGTCCAAGTATACCAATTATTATTATTAATTTTGTTTGTTCATTTAAACATGCTGATCTCAGGAACAAGTAGCTGGATTTAATGTTTTTTTTACATTGGGTAGTCCATTTAAAAAAGTCCATAAGGCTATCACTACTCAGTATAAAACAAATCACTATCCGCCGTGTCCCTATGTATGCTTAGATCTTTAAAAGTATTCAACAGATTTTTATGCAGTTTTTTTTTTAATAGATAGTGATTCTTAAGTAATGTTTATATGCATAATTTAGTAGAGAAACACTAATAAATTTAGTGGTTATTATGTGATGTCGTAAATGAGCACATTTTTTTGTGCTTAATTGCAAAAGCTAGCTTACCCCTATGAGATAGACCCAAATAATGTACTACCTTAATTGTCTAGTGACAGAAAAGCTGTAAACTTTGTCTGTAAGAACATTCTGTAGTAGGTATATTTACAGTTTAAGCATTGCACCAGTGCGAAGCTGGGGCGTAGAAGCGCTGGTCTGTATCACAGTTTACCACAGAGCACCAAGCCTATACGCATTATATGCTAGGCAAAGCTAGGATAGGATATTATAAGTGTTAGATTAGCTAGGATAGTGTAGGTTAACGTTAGCTTGTAGTAAATAGGATAAGTTAGTCCTGTACAGTAGGATTTTAGTGTAAAGCTACTATCCCGCTGTACAGAGTTAAACAATGCTTTCACAGCATTTGGTTATTTTGTTATAAGTTAGCTTTTTGTCATTGTAACATTTAATTTCTTGAAAACCATAGTAGACAACTTATAGCATGTGTGTTACCATATTTTGTATGAACCATTGAATGTGTTGCTGGCTGCAGATAGTAATTCCATATCTGGGTAAAAAACATCATCAGCAGATTTTTTGGATTGAAATTGCTGTAAATATCTATTGGTTGCCTAGTCTAGATTCTGGCCATTTTTACAATGACACTTCTGCATGTTAATGCATTGATTGTATCTTCTTTTTATTGCTATTTGTGATATCTGAAGTCTTTAAGTATAGCACATGCGCTTTGCATAAGTCAAAAGTAAACATTTTGTACGTCTTTCATCATTTAAAAAAATTTGTAAGCCACATCTGGTAAGATTTTTGTTCATTAGGATTTTTTTTGTAAAACTATCTGTAATGGCACAGAGCAGAGGTCGCGGCGGCGGGGTGATGCGGCCATGGCTTCGCGGCGCGTGACGCGCAAGTGGGAGGTGTTCGCGGGACGGAACCGCTTCTGGTGCGACGGCCGCCTCATGACGGCGCCCCACCCTGGCGTGTTCCTGCTCACGCTCGCGCTCATCTGCGGCACGTGCGCCCTGCACTTCGCCTTCGACTGCCCCTTCCTGGCCGCGCGCGTGTCGCCCGCCGTGCCCGCGGCCGGCGCGGCGCTATGCGCGCTGACGCTGGCGGCGCTGCTGCGCACGGCGCTGTCCGACCCCGGCATCATCCCGCGCGCCGCCGCGGCCGAGGCGGCGGCGCTGGAGGCGGCCGAGGCGGGCCGGCCGCCGCGCGCGCGCGCGAGGTGCTGGTGCGCGGCCGGCCCGTGAAGCTCAAGTACTGCTTCACGTGCAAGATGTTCCGGCCGCCGCGCGCCAGCCACTGCTCGCTGTGCGACAACTGCGTGGACCGCTTCGACCACCACTGTCCCTGGGTGGGCAACTGCGTGGGCAAGCGCAACTACCGCTACTTCTACACGTTCGTGGTGTCGCTGTCGTTCCTGGCCGTGTTCGTGTTCGCGTGCGCCGTGACGCACGTGGCGCTGCTGGCGCGCGGCGCGGGGCTGGGCCCGGCCCTGCGCGCCACGCCCGCGTCCGCCATCGTGGCCGCCGTCTGCTTCCTGTCCGTGTGGTCGGTGCTGGGGCTGGCCGGCTTCCACACGTACCTCGCCTCCACGGACCAGACCACCAATGAAGACGTGAGTTCTTGTCCCCTACGTATGCCGAATGCTTAGCTAGCCTACGTTGGTTTTAAGTCTTACTTCTTATAAATTGGCTTTTTATTGCCTTCACAGATTAAGGGTTCGTTTTCAACACGCCGTGGCGTGTCAAATCCGAACCCGTATTCACGCGGCAACGCATGTGCCAACTGCTGGCACGTACTATGCGGTCCGCTGGCGCCCAGCCTCATAGACCGGTGAGTAGCTCGAGCAGTCGAGGGCCGAGCCTGACCTCGCCGTGCAGTCAGTATCCATTGCCACTGTGTTGCAGGCGAGGCGTCTTCACCATCGACGTCAAGGACGAGCTGCCGCCGAGCTTCGCGCGAGCTCTCAGCGCCGCGCCCCCCGCCGCGCCCTCGCCGCCCCTCGCGGCCGCGGCCCCGCCGCTGGGCGGCAGCTACAGCAACCTGTTCGAGAGCGGCTCGCCCGTGCGCCACGCCTACATGAACCGCTCGCTGGAGCTGGAGCCCGTGTCGGCGCAGCCCGTGTCGCTGCAGCCGGGGCCGCTGCAGCCGGGGTCCCTGCAGCCGGGGCCGCTGCAGGCCGCGCCGGGCGGCCTGAGCGCCTCGCGGCTGCGCCTGCTGCACGACACGACGATGATAGACGCGGCGCTGGACCTGGACGAGCCCGAGCCGCCGCCGCACCTGCCGCGCGGCCCGGCGGCGCCCGTGCACCTGGCGCCGCGCGGCCCGGCGGCGCCCGTGCATCTGGCGCCGCGCGCGCTGGCGGCGCTCTGACCCGCGCGCCGGGGCCCGCGCCGGGTCCCACACCGGGGCCCGCGCCGGCTCCCACGCCGGGGCCCGTGCCGGGGCCCGCGCCGCGCCGCGCCCGCCGCCTTGTCTGCGGCCCTCGCGCGCCCCGCGTCAGGACCCGACGCATTCTGTGCTCTGTAAATAAACTATAAACTATTATAAATATTACTATATTATAATAAATAGCTTGTATTGTAGAGTTCTATATGTTTGTTTTATTTCAAATTTCCTAATAACGACCATTAAAAACTATAAAATAAAATAAATCGAAATGTTTCTTCCTCATTGGTCGTGTGGTCGCAAATGCGATTGCCGAGCAAGGGGTCTCGGGTTTGATTCGGGCAAAGTATTATCTACTGGGTTTTTAAAATAATCTCAGTAGTAGCACGAAGTCTGGAATTGTGCCCGGTATAGGGCAATACTTATATGGTTTGGAATTTTACCCGGTATATGGCTTGGCCGAGTACACTCGCACAAGACTGCTTCACACAGACTACTTAGAGATACTAGGTACGTTCCTCTATACTTATTAATACTACGTATCTCCTTCATAATAATGCAAACTGCTACTGTTCCCCTATTCTTAATAGACTCTGGGCTACTGGATACTTATTATACTCTTTGGCTACTGGTTTACACATAACATGTCAAAATGATATCTGTCTAATGTCAAAATCACTTCGATCAAATGTCAAAATGACGTCTAATTAATATCAACATGACATTTGTGAAATGTCCAAGGGACATTTGCCATGTCAACAGTACATCTGTATAATGTCAAATGTCACCTTTCCATGTCAAAATGAAACCAGTCCAATATCAGAGGAGGATTAGGAACAGGCTCCCCCTGTTAACTGTCAAACACCGCGAAGACACCGGTGACCGCAACCTATTGTTCTTTAATTGTGTCTATAATGACGGTACTCAAAGAGTTAAGGACACGTGGCGAGATCCACACGGCCGTAGTCCGACTCCGGGAAAAGAAAACCGCCTCGGGCCAGATGGTGTCCCATGACAATTACCATTATGACAAAAATACATGACAATTACGAGCGGATTACGCTGACGTGCGGTCTCCACCCGCAACTGCCCGTCGGCCCTGAGCTGCTCGGTCATCTTCAACTCATCTTTGCTGCCGCAGCTCAGAACCACCCTCTGGTCCTTGATTTTTCGGACTTGTTCCACCTGAAGGCCGCCCCTCTTTGCGTTCAACGCCTGCCGGACTCGACCCACAACGTCGCCGCTTGTTTCCATTGCGTCGCTGGAGGGCACAACGACCGAGTGCTTTGGTCTCACGACCCGCACTACACTCTTCGGTTTCGACAGAACTTCTGCCGTCATCTCGGAGACCTGTCTCCCGATCTCTTGGGTTATAGACTTGAGCTCCTGCACTTCTGCGAGAAGCTCCTGGCCGATGGGTCTCTCGGCGACAGGCGCCGCATTCATCCTCCGCTGGTCATTTAGGGCCTCCTTCAATTCCTTCAATTCCCCAATTTGCACAGCGGCTGTTTTAAGCAGCTCGCCGTGCTCCGCCATTTTCGTAATGACCTCCTCCGCTGTTGCGCCCGTATTTTCTGGTGCAGGGGCCATCAAACCCGCAGTCTCTCCGACCTCAGGGAGCCACTGGTGTTCGGATTCTTTAACTAGTTAGTAAAGGCGCTCAATGGCTAGTATCGCCTGGGCCTTGATCTCTGTCTTCAGATTTCTCGCAAGACCCAGTTGATATTTGGCCTGTTTTAGCCAATGTCGCGCCTCCACCGTCCCGGTGCCTGAATCCATTTTTACTGCCTGTGGGACGCCAAATTCCACCTTAGCAATAACTGATGGCCGCTCGGGCCAAGGCGTCCCACTTTCTACGGACCGGACAGTCCTGGGCAAAAATAGAGTGGCCTGTGTTACCTTGTCCATCTCTCTTACAGTTTATACAGGACGGTCCCACCCCTTTGGCGGACCTAGGGCAATCCGCCTGAAGGTGGGGCCCCCCGCAATGGTTGCACAGGTCCACTTCCTCAGGACAGTTTTTGCGTCCATGTCCGTAGACCAGACACCGGCTACACTGCACCAGCGGAGATTGGTCCAACACCTTAACGTGCTGCAGGTCGATAAATAGCCTGCCGGCCGTCGTCAGCCGTTCCCACATCCTAGGTGATACCTGGAGGATGACGTGGTTCTCTAGTGGGTTCCTCGCCCTTCTCCGGTACTTGACGACTACTGCCGACTCTTCGGCCGACAGGCCCTCCAGCAGGCGCGCGTTCTGCGTCTTAAGAGCGGCCTTTATGTCCTCGTCGCTGTTATAGGCCAGAAGGTCCCGGACAATTACGAGTGGATACCGCTGACGCGCGTTTTCCACCCGCAACTGCCCGTCGGTCCTGAGCTGCGCTGTCATCCTTTCCAGCTCCTCCTTGCTGGCGCAGCTCAGCACCACCCTCTGGTCCTTGACTTTTCGGACATTTTCCACTTGAAGGCCGCTCACCTTCGCATTCAACGCCTGCCGGACCCGACCCACAACATCGCCGCTGGTCTCCATTGCGTCACCGGAGGACACAACGATTGAGTGCTTTGGTCTTGCAACCCGCCCTGCACTCTTCGGTTTTGACAGGACCTCCACGTAGGAGAGCGCTTCCGCCCTCATCTCGGAGACCTGTTTTCCGATCTCCCGGGTTGCAGACTTGAGCTCTTGCATCTCTGCAAGAAGCTCTTCGCCATGGCCGCTGTGGCCTTCGGCGACAGACGCCGCATCCGCACTCCGCCTATCATTTAGTGCTGCCTTCAAGTCCTCAATCTGCATAGTGATCGCTTCAAGCAGCTTACTGTGCTCCATAATTTTTAAAATGAGGTCGTCCTCCTTCCTGTATTTAGGAGCTGGCTGAGGGGATTTTGGAGAGGGCGCGAGCCCAGGGGACCCATGTTCCAGCAGTGTGTCCAGGCCGTGCCGGGCACAATTTGTTGAACCCACGCTGCGCTGCTTCCTTGGTTGTTTCTCAATGTCGGGAAACAGCTTCCGAACCGCATTGGGTGGGGCCGGTGACTGGGGGGTGGTGTCGCACATGATGGTGGGACGAGTGAGAAAAGTAAGTGGAGCACCTGGCTCTCAAATATATGTCCTGAATCCCTGTAAAGTGGGGATTCAACGTCTTAAAATTTAAAAGTAGTTTTTCCTGTATAGAGGGGTTGTCAATAAGACTAAATGATTAATTAATACTTAAAATTATACCCTGTAAAGGGGGGTCAAATAATATTTGTCAATAATAATAATAATTATCAATTCTAAATTTGTCTGTTTAAAGCTAAAATTGGACTTTCATATTATAATCTGTATCTAAAGTACACGTCAGACGTGGCGGAAACCAAGAAAAATTTGGTATATTAGATGTCGTGCATCCGAAACGATGATAAAAAATTTTCACCATAGTCCACCATGTTTGGACGTGTGTATCTGAGCTGGAACAGGTTCTCCCTGTCCAGAAATGGCAGTTGATTCACGTCTCCAACGAGTACGACCTCACCCGCGCCGAACAGTTTTGCTGCCATGACTATGGCCCCAAAATGGTTCATTAGAGCCTCGTCCACTATGAGGCGGTGGCATTTGTGGGGCGTGAACCCGTTGGACAATATTGAGGCCATAGTGCGCACCTTTGTCTTTGTGCGTTCTCCAAGGCGGGGCTCCAGCCTGTCCCTGAGATCTTTTGCGGCTTCGGTCGTCGTAGTAACCGCCACGTCGGTTAGGTTAGGTTAGGTTAGGTTAGGTTAGGTTTTTTGCGGGCATTGAGGACCGGCTGTTGCCGGAGAAGCGCATCCGCCCTCCACTCGCGGCGGACAGAGCGCAATCTGCAGCACTGCCACCGCCAGTAGCTGCAACCACCAGCGGACTGCCCCAGGCCCCAAAACCTTCTAAGGGCAAAGGACGGGGCAAAACCTCAAAGACGGCGGCTCCACCTACATCCAGCACGAGTGCAGCTGAGCCGGAAATGACCCAAACAGCTTCTCTGGGTCCGGAAAGGGACGTGCTGGAGTCTTCTGCCGTTGCTCCCACCGAAACATGGACGGAGGTGGTGAAGCGAGGGAAGGGAAGGAAAGCGGCCTCCAAGCCCGCCCCTGCTACTTCTGCAGCCAAGAGGGCCCCTGCTGTTCCCACAGCAAAAGGGATGAAACTGGCGGCTCCCAAAACGGCGGCGGTTACGGTGACCATCACCCCCGAGGCCGCCGAAAGGGGCGAAACATACGAGTCCGTATTGACGCGGGCTCGTGCCCATGCCGATCCCACCCAGCTGGGGATTACGGCCGTTACTTGCCGCCGTACCCAAACCGGAGCTCGAATTTTCGAGTTTCCCGGGCATTGGGTTCGCAAAATGCGGACCTCTTCGCAACAAAATTGCGCGAGGGCATCGCGGACGTAGCAAAGGTCGCCAGGCCAGTCAAGTCCGCGACTTTAGAGGTCGCCAACTTGGATGACTCCGTCTCCAAGGAAGAAGTGGTGACGGCCATTGCAGCAGCAGGAGGTTGCCCTGTCGAGTCGGTGCAAGGTCGAGTCATCAGGACTGGCCGGCGTGGCCTGGGCACAACCCGTGTGGACTGTCCAGTCACCGCAGCCAAGGCCGTCCTTGTTAAAACCAAGGGGCGGCTCCTGATTGGGTTCAGCTCAGCCGTGGTCCGGGCACTTGAAGAGCGACCGCTACGCTGCTTTAAGTGTTTCGGCATAGGGCACACCCGGACAATGTGTCCGTCCACGGTGGAGAGAGCGGACACCTGTTACCGTTGCGGGAAGGAAGGGCATATGGCGGCATCCTGTGATGCCGTCACGCCACACTGCGCTGTCTGTGCTGCTAGTGGTCGCCCAGCGAACCACATGATGGCTGGGAGGAAGTGCAATCCCCCCACCAAGAAGGGCAAAATGCAGGTGCCAAGGCGACCTGCTGCTGCTGCTACCGCGACCGACACACGGTCGCGGAAGCCGATGAGGGTGATGCGATGATTGAATAATGGGG